GGCAGGAGTCCAAGTACTTGGGCTGTCTTCTGCTGCTTTCCCAGGAACACTAGCAGGGAAATGGATCAGGAATAGATGAGTAGAGACACAATGTTTCACTTTGATATGGGGTGCTGTTATTGTAAGGGGTCCCTTAATCAGCTGCACCATGATGACAGCCCTTCTTTTTGTTTCTAATCTTAAGAAGTACTTACATTGAACCAATTTTGCTCCAGTTATTGATATATTAAAGACAACCTTGACATGATTAATTTTACAGGATCCTCTGTTCTTTAGGGATGAACTAAGTACCAGGCATCACCACTTGCAAAATTGTATTGAATCTGATGGAGGTTATCATGAAAAATAAGCTTGTAGTTTCTTTTAAAAAATGTTTACCTTTTATTTCAAATTTTCCATGAATGTTTTATGTCCTTTCGTACTTTCTGTTCTAGATCATTCACTGGTTTCACTACAGAAGTAATTTAGCGTCTCTTCAGTGTGCTTTGACTGATGCACACTCCAGCACATTCTTGTCACTATGGATTTTTTTAACTTTTATTTAGTAAATATAAATTTCCAAAGTACAATTTATGGATTACAATGGCTTCCCCCCCCCCATAATTTCCCTCCCACTCGCACCCCTCCCATCTCCCGCTCCCTCTCGCATTCCATTCACATCCAGATTCATTTTCAATTCTCTTCATATACAAAAGATCAATTCAGTATGTAGTAAATAAAGATTTCATCAGTTTGCACCCACATAAAAACACAAAGTGTAAAATACTGTTTCAGTACTAGTTATAGCATTACTTCACATTGAACAATACATTAAGGACAGATCCCACATGAGAAGCAAGTACACAGTGACTCCTGTTGTTGACTTCACAATTTGACACTCTTATTTATGGTGTCAGGAATCACCCTAGGCTCTAGTCATGAGTTGCCAAGGCTATGGAAGACTTTTGAGTTCACCGACTTCGATCTTATTCAGACAGGGCCATAGTCAAAGTGGAAGTTCTCTCCTCCCTTCAGAGAAAGGTACCTCCACTTTGATAGCCCTGTTCTTTCCACTGGGATCTCATTCGCAGAGATCTTTCATTTAGGTTTTCTTTTTTTTTTTTTTTTTCCAGAGTGTCTTGGCTTTCCATGCCTAAAATACTCTCATGGGCTCTTCAGCCAGATCCGAATGCCTTAAGGGCTGATTCTGAGGCCAGGGTGCTATTTAGGACGTCTGTCATTGTATGAGTCTGCTGTGTATCCCGCTTCCCATGATAGACCATTCTCCCCCTTTTTGATTCTATCAGCTAGTATTAGCAGACACTAGTCTTGTTTGTGTGATCCCTTTGACTCTTAGACCTATCAGTGTGATCAATTGTGAACAAAAATTAATCACTTGGACTAGTGAGATGGCATTGGTACATGCCACGTTGATGGGATTGTATTGGAATCCCCTGGCACGTTTCTAATGCCACCATTTGGGGAAAGTCGATTGAGCATGTCCCAAATTGTACATCTCCTCCCTCTTTATTCCCACTCTTATATTTAACAGGGATCACTTTTCAGTTAAAATTTAAACACCTAAGAATAATTGTGTGTGAATTACAGAGTTCAACCAATAGTATTAGAATAAAAAAAAATACTAAAAGGGATAAAGTATTACATTGTCACTATGGATATTTATTTATTTATTTATTTGAGGTTGGGTAGGTGAAGAGGAGGAAATGCACAGTCCTATCAATTGTTTTTTTCCCAAATACTCACAGTGGCCTGTGACTGAGTTAGAAGCTAGAGGGAGCATGGAACTCAATCCAGGTCTCCCATGTGGGTAGCAAGAATCCACTTGCCTGAGACACATTGCTGCCTCCTAGTGTCTGCGTTAGCAGGTACCTGGAGTCAGGGATAGAGCCAGGTATCAATCCCAGGCACTCTGAAATGTAGGCATCTTATGTTTTAACCACTATGTCAAACACGGACCCTCCTTATTTATTTTAAAGTTAATGTTCCCTTGTGAGTTTTCTTACTAGATTGTTGGTTCCTTTAGGTCGAAACATGTGTAATTTCTAGTACAAAGACCTTTGAATACTTAATAATTGACTCATTAAAATTTGTTTACCCAAATAAAACACATTAGCCTTCTACAGAGAGAAAATCTGCATAGGCATGATTTCCTCAAAGGAAATGTAAATATACACCAACCTAATATAGACTCTGATACAATATCACCCATGCCTAAGTGATCACTGAGTAAGCAGAATTTCTGAATTTTTCACATTAGGAAAAATAATTGGAGGGATGTGATCATAAATATTAGTAAGAGAAAAGAGAAAATGAAAGAGAGTTAAGTAGGAAGGAAAGAGAAAACAGATGCCACAGCATCTTTAGTACTAAAAGGAGCCATTTCGTGAACTTACCAATAATTTTCCCACCCCATAAATCCACTCCACAGTGCATCCCTCCGCAGTGCAAGGGCAGCTTCCCCACTTTGTGATTCATGCTTCTTTATACATTTTAAATACAAATCAGTTGACCATATTAAAAGAATGATTTTACAGACCCTGTCCTTTCTATGGCAGGCTAGCTGTGGCTGTGGCACCTGCAGGAATGAGTAAGAGCAAGGTGGTGGTCTAGCAAGGAGCAGCAAAGCAAGGGACAATGTCTGTTTTGAACTGAAAGGTGCTTTCCACAATCCTCCTGTTAAACTTTAACCTCAGTGCCTTGGGCAATGTCTTTCAAGGGTGAGTAAAATTTAAATTAGACATTTTGGGACAGTCCTAATCCAATATAATTGGTATCCTTATAAAAAGAGAAACAGAAAAAGCATCTGCAATCAAGGGAGAGAGATCTTAGCAGAAAAAAATCTTCTGATATCTTAATCTCAGATTTCAGATTCAGAACTGTGAGAAAACCCTCTTTTGTTTTTAAGCCACCCACTCATGGCATTTTGTCATGGCTGCTCCAGAAAATTCACAAAGTATCCAAGCTGGGCTGAGTGCCAGTGGAACTCAGGTTGCACAAACAAGGCATCCAGCCAGCCAAGGTGGCACCTTAGGTCAGTAGATTGGCTGCATTGAGGACTTTGACCAAATAATAAGAATTCTGTCTATGAAGTAGTCCCAAACCAGCAATATTTTAGAAGCAACATGCATAGTAGAACAGATTTTTTTAAAATAAATCTCCATTCAAAGGAGCTACATCTGCTTGTATTTGTAAGAGGAACTGAATAGCCAAAATAATGTTGAAGAAAAAGAACAAAGTCAGAGTCAAACTTCCAGATTTTAAAACTCTAAAATTTTTCAAAGGATGAAATACAAATGGCCAACAGACACATGAAAAAATGCTCAGGATCAGTAGACATCAGAGAAATGCAAATAAAAACCACAATGAGGTATCACCTCATTCTAGTTAGCATGGCTAACATTCAAAAAATAAAAATAAAAAATGCTCCCTCAAAAAATAAAAGAGCGTCTGGTGTTGTTGCATAGCAGGTAAAGCAACTGACTGCAAAGGCAATATCTCACATGCCTGCTGGTTCTTGTCCCAGCAGCTCCACTTCCAATCCAGATCCCTGATAATGGCCTGAGAAAAGCACTGGAAGATGGCCCAAGTGTTTGGGCCTCCTGCACCCACGTGGGAGACCTGGAAGAAACTCCTGGCTCCTGGCTTTGACCTGTTCCAGCCCTGGCCCTTGTGGCCATCTGGGTAATGAACCAGCAGATAAAAGCTCTCTCTCTCTGTCTCTCCCTCTCTCTTTGTAGCTCTTTCAAGTAAATAAATGAATTAAAAAAAAAAAGTAAGAGAGAAAGAAAAAAAGTAAGAAATAAGAAAGAGAAAAGAAAGAGGGAGGGAAGTACTCTAAGAATGTAATGATACTTCCCTTCCTCTCTTTATACATTATATTCTTAGAATTGCATCTATGAACTGTTTTATCTGTGTTTAATTTGTGTTAATATCTGTTTTATTTGTGTTAATATCACATTTAACATGATAATTGATGACAAAAAAGTTTAAGGACTTGAATAGACATTCCTTTAATGAAAATTTAAGAATTTCAAAAAATCACACAGATATATGTTCAATATTATACAAAGTAAAATCACTGTGAGATGTCACTGTAAACATGTTTGGGAGCCGACCTTGTGGTGCAGTGAGTTAAGCCTCTGCCTCTGATAATGGCATCCCATATGGGCGCCAGCTCAAGGTCAGCTGTTCACTTTTAATCCACCTCCCTGCTAATGCATCTGGGAAAGCAGAAGCAGGTGGCCCAAGTCCCTGGGCCCCTGTACCCACGTGGGAGACTGACGCAGCTCATGGCTCATGGCTTCAATGTGGCCCAGCCCTGACCATTGCAGCCATTTGGGGAGTGAACCAGTGTATGGACAATCTCTTTCTGTCTCTTCTCTCTCTCTAACTCTGCCTTTCAAATAAATAAGAAATAAATCCTTAAATAAAATGTATCAGGATGGCTAAAATAAAGAATAAAAATAATCATGTGTTGATATGATGTGAAGGATGTGGGCACTTCCTGCATTGCTGGAGAGAATGGTGTAGATACTCAGGAAACTCTTTGGTGGTGCCTTAAAAAGCAACGTATGACCCAGGAATTTCATTTCTAGGTAATGAATGTGGAGATCTAATAATTACTTTTATGTGAATATTTTGAGTTTGTAGCAGCATTATTTACAACAATCAAAAGGAGAAAATAACTCAAATGTCTATCAACAAATGGTGGATAAATGCTTGTGAAATATATATGCATATATATATGCAAATGCTGATAATATTATAAGGAGAATAAAATTCAAAAACGTTAGGCTAATTGAAAGAAGTAATATGCAAACAATATGTGACATCAGGTCATCTCTTGTGTGATTCTGCTTTATGAAATATTCAGTACAGGTCAATTCACAGAGACAGAGACACATCAGTGTTTGCCAAGGGAAGGAGAGAATGGGATGTTTTTGCCTAACAGTTCTGAGGTTTCATGTCAACATGATAAAAATGACTGGAACTGCACAGAGGTGGTATTCTCACAATGTGTGACTGTCCTACCAGTCCTAAATGACACTTAATTTTACCTTTAAAGTGATCAATATGCATTATGCGACTTTTACCTCATTAAAAAAATTCTCATAGGATCATCATCTTGATAAAAACACAATGATAAATGATGCTAAAACTAGTATGTAGAATAAGAAACACAATTTTACAGTCTCCAAATACATCCCATCCGAATGTGTACTAATTTAAAAGGGATTCTGAAAGGATGTTATGTATTGGAGAATCGCCACAGGAGGCATCCTGATGAAATTTCCTCAATGGGATGACAGCACCGTTAACGAGGCGATTCCACATTGTGCCACCTCAGGCTGCGGGGAAGGACTCAGCCTCACTTCTGTGATTTGCAGACCCCAACCACGTGGCCTGTGTGTCATCAGATCGAAACAGAAATATGTGATACTTGGCTGGAGTGTGTTCCTACTTTGGATACTCTTGTACTAAGGTCTTTTGAGTCAGTGATGGAGGCATTACACTGATGGGTAAATGATACCAATATTCTGTGTGCTATTTATCTATCCTTATGCTTTAAATGGTTTCAAAATAAAAGCAATAGAAAATAAATTACAATGCCAGGTAACATAATCACCAGGAGAAGATGTAGTGACTAAGATTTGGAAGGAAAGTGGTTGATTTGCAATTTAATGAGCATATTCAAAAATGCTTTGATATTGAAAAGTATCTGTAAACCTGGGCTATTCATACACCTAAGTTAAAAGGAATTGTATTAAATAAGGTAATGTGAAGGTCTCCTCAGGTGTCCAACCCCCTGGAAGAGAGGAGAGGTCCCTGATGAACCCAGAAAACTCTCCATCATATCTGGGCCCTGGTCCAACAGCCCCAAACCCATCTTATCCACAACAACCAATGGAATCTATAGGGGTGCACTTCCCCCTCCTCAGGGATACCCCTACCAAGGATACCCACAGTCTGGCTGTCAGGTAGGCCTCAGGGGCCTCCTAAGACCACAGTGCATGTGGTGGAAGACCAAAGAAGAGATGACCTGGGCCCAACCACCTGCCTCACAGCCTGCTGCACTGCTCTTTCTTGCTGCTGTCTCTGGACATGCTCACCTCCCGGCCTGGCCCCTGTCTTGTCAGCTTGTCCTGACCCTGTCCAGTCAGGCCTGGCTCCTGTCCTGTCAGCTCTGCTGCCACCTCTGCTGGGTGCACCTGTCCATCTCTTCTGATTGCTGTAATAAGTGACTAGTTCTAAAAAGATGCCTCTTTATTCAACACTAAGGGGTTCTAGATTAGCAAGGGTTGCGGCTGTTTAATTCTATAACTTGATCTTTTTAATGTTCAAAATTCTTTTATTATTGATCTCTAACAAATGTGCTAAATGATGTTCTATTTTTGGGCCAAAGGCTTAGTTATGAAATATATATTCATAATTTTAAAATTATACCTTCAAGGTAGTGGCAAGATAAGACGTACCACTGAATGATTTTCTGCTAACACCCTGTATGTTTCAATATATTTCTCTAAAATAAATAAATAAACAAATAAGATAATGCATGTTAAGTTCTCTATAAATTCCTGGGTCATATTAATTTTTTAATAAATTTAAGTAAATGCCAACTAGGATTTTATATTATTAAAGGGAAATCAAGACAGATCTCAACCAAGCTCTTTCACAGCAAGTTGTATAAACTGAAATATAGATCATACAGCTAAGATAGTCACTGATTATTTTTAATTATCTTATTAAAATTTCAACAATTCCTAGACAAATTGAATGCTTTATTCCTTTTCCTTTTACTTAGCTTTAAAATGTTATACATTTTATTGAAATAATCATGTACTCACGAGCTTCAATTTTTGAAAGGTATAAAAGGAATAAATAACATATTTATTATGTGTTATTTAATAAATAATAACTCAATCACTACAGCTTGAGTGAGGTATTAGGTCAACTCAATCACTACAGAATGAGTGATTACAGGCATTGTCATATATATTTTCAGAAATTTTCTTTGCTAACACACATAAGTGCATAAAAATGCATATTCAGAAATAAAGGCACACATATTTCTACATCTCATTTTTATCACATTAAAATGAATCATGATAATACTCCCATTAATCACATAGAAAGCTCCTTCCCCATGATATTAAATTATATTTCATCATAGGCATGCACGAAGAAAAATCAATAATCAGCACTAGCCTTGTCCAATCAGAATAGTTGCCTACCACCCAGAACAAACATTGGTGTCATAGTGTCACTACCAACAACAAAAACTTTTAGTGTCTTAGAATTTCAATCATTTGAATCATAAGAACTTCAATATTAATCTTGAGTTTACAGCCATCCTTTTTTAATTTTGTTTTTATTTGACAGATAGAGTTAGACAGTGAGAGAGACAGAGAGAAAGGTTTTCCTTCCATTGGTTCACCCCCCAAATGGCCACTATGGCCGGCACTGTGCAGATCTGAGGCCAGGAGCCAGGTGCTTCCTCCTGGTCTCCCATGTGGGTACAGGTGCCCAAGCACTTGGGCCATCCTCCACTGCCCTCCCAGCCCCCAGCAGAGAGCTGGACTGGAAGAGGAGTAGCCAGGACTAGAACCTGGTGCCCAAATGGGATACCGGCGCCGCAGGTGGAGGATTAGCCAAGTGAGCCATGGTGCCGGCCCAAGTTTACAGCCATTTTTTTAAAAATTCATTTTAATTCAACAAAAAACATGTATATATAATGGGCACAATGTGGTAAGTAATTAAAAATATTCCCTTTGCTATTTTGAAACATGCACTACTATTAACTATACTCACTGTGCTGTTTGATAGATCATCAGATACCATTTCTCCTTTCTAACTGCAGCCTTGTCCTTATACCATCATCTCCGTCATCTCCTCACTCTCTGTTCAGCCACTGGTGACCACCATTCTCATCTTTATTTCTATGTGTTTGACTATTTAATGGTTCTGCATCTAAGTGAAACCATGTGCTATCCTTTCTCCCTGTGCCTGGCTGATTTTTCTTAGTTCAATTAGCTTTAATGTTTCTCACACTGGCATCTAGGCTCAAAGAGCGAATAATCCTCGGGGAATGATCTGACTATGGACGTTACAAATGCAAGCGAGTTTTCCTAACCACACTTGGGAATTCAGAGTGTTGTGAGTGCTCACACATCATGGGCTAAAACATAGTATGTGACTCAGAACATAGATACGAGATCAGGAAGCGAAGAAGCAGGTGGAAACAAATGCTCTTGTCTATCGAACAGAAAGTCAGTCCTCTAGGGACTGGCATGATTTCATTAAACAAATTTTATTGATACACACAGATACTATTTTGAATCTCTATCATAAACATCCAGTAATGAACAACTTTTTACTTTAGCTTTGTAACGTTCTATAGTGATAAATTCCCCAAATTAAAGTTTTTTTTAATTTTTTATTTTATTTTTTATTTTTTGGACAGGCAGAATTAGGCAGAGAGAGAGAGAGAGAGAGAGAGAGAAAGGTCTTCCTTTTTCCATTGGTTCACCCCCCAAATGGCTGCTACAGCCAGCGCGCTGCACCCATCTGAAGCCAGAAGCCAGGTACTTCCTCCTGGTTTCCCATGCAGGTATAGGGCCCAAGGACCTGGGCCATCCTCCACTGCACTCCCAGGCCACAGCAGAGAGCTGGACTAGAAGAGGAGCAACCAGGACAGAATCCAGCACCCCGAATGGGACTAGAACCTGAGTGCCGGCACCGCAGGCAGAGGATTAGCCTAGTGAGCCGCAGCACCTTTCCAAATTAAAGTTTAAATCTAAACATAAACATTATTTGATAGAAGTTACATTTCTTAGGGGTTTCATTAATTTACACCTCCACCCACAAAGCATGGCAGTGCATTTTTCTGCACATTCTTCTCTAGGCCATGTGGAAAATACTGAGTTACCATTTTAATTTGCTATTCTACATTTTTTAGTGAGCTTGAGCAATTTTATGTATGTACTAATTGAACAGCATTTTCACTAGTAGGGACTGCATATTTCTATTTGTTATCCATTGTCCAGTGAATTTTGGGTACCAAAAAATTATTTGTTCCTTTACATATGAATATGAGCTACTTATATATACCTAGAAATGAAATTCACTGTCTTTTTATATACATAGATTCATGGGGAAACTTGCCCTTGTTGCAAATCAAGCCAAAATGATTCAACAATATCACTTTGAAAGCTTGAGATGTATTTTCTGGAGTATGAAGTTTATAAAGCACTATATGTATTATACTATCATAATACATTTATCTTTTAAATTAAAAAACTTTATTGAAAAAGGAATACATGAAAAAAATAAGGGGAATAAGAGAGGGATGAGGTAGTTTATAACTATAAGGCTGTGTAGTACTGCATACAGTCCTACAGACTTACTTCTAACGGTACAGTTTAAAAATTTATCATGGAACTCTAATTCCATTAAAATTGGTGGTAATATGCCATCTTAATTGTTAAAGTGATCATATTAAGTGTTAAAATGAATATATAGATAGGATTAAGTATCAAAGAGATCATATAAATAACATAAGTGCCTGCTAAAAATAATAGAATTAAAAGGAAGGAATGTCCAATATGGGAAGCAGTCCAAACAACAGAATCCTATAAAATGGCATTCTCTGTAAAATAACACTCTGACCTCAGAATCAACCCTTAAAGTTTCCTGGTCTGGCTGAAAGGCCTGTGAGAGCATTTCAGGAATGGAAAACCAAGATACTGGGACAAAAAATATCCTATATCCTACTTGAAGGAGCTCTGTGAATGGGACCCCAGTGGAAAGAAGAGGCCATCAAAGAAGGATGTACTTTTCTCTGAAGAGAGGAGAGAACTTCCAATTTCCTTATGGTCTTGTCCAAATACTGATGGAGTCTGTGGTCACAAAAGGTTTCCATAGCCTTGGCAAGAGCCTCTGGTGATCACTGACGTCATAAATAACAGTGTGTATTGTTAAATGAACAACATAATTCACTGTGCACTTACTCCCCACGTAGGACCTCTGTCCTTAATGAGTTGTACTATGAGAATTAACTGCAAAACTTGTTCTCAAAATGTACTTTATATGTTGTGTGTGTGCTTGTGTGCAAAATGTTGAAATCTTTACTTAGCATAGAGTTGGTCCTCTGTATATAATGTTAAACTAAAAATGAATCATAATGAAGAATGGGATGGGAGAGGGAGTAGGAGGTAGGACAGGAGTCGGGATGGCAGGTATGGGGGAAAGAACCACTATATTCCTAAAGTTGTATCTACGGAAAATGCATTCATTAAATAAAAGCTTTAAAAAAAGGAATACATGAAAGATTTTAAAATTTGATTAAATATATGCATATGTGTATATATTCAGAATTACTGGAGAATGTGATATATATTTCAAGTCATATAAGGAATCATGACAAATATTTTATAAATGCACTTTTATTAAATTTGATAAAATATGATTACTAGTTACTCATAATTAATATTATTCTGGATTCACCATCCAACCTGAGTCAATTGTGACAATAAATATTTGGAAACCCAAGTTATCTCTTCTTGTGATATGACCATCAAAATGGGGAAAGCAAGAGAATCTACAGGAAAAGAAAGCAAACCCTAATGTAAAAACGACAATGAAGTAGTTGGGTACCAGATACAAAATAGATATCTGGTTGTTTTGATTTTCATTTTCCTAGTGACAAATTATGTTGAACATCTTTTCACACGCCTATTGACCATCTGTTTGGTTTCTTGGTGTGGTGTCTGCCCAAATCTCTTGCCCATATTTCATTGGGTTGTTTATTTTATTAATAATGAGTTTTAAAGTGCCTTGGCATACTTTATATTTTATGTGTTTAGTAAATATTCTTTCTATATGTCTTTTTTCTTTTCATTCTCTTAAGAACATCTGTATTACAGAGCAGAAGATTTACATTTTTATGAAGCTAAAAATATCTAATTTTTATTTCATGAATCATGACTTAAGTTTTGTTTTAAATTCTTACCAAACCAAAGGTAAAATACTTATTTAAAAACTCCAGTGTTTTTTCCTGAAATTTATAGCTTTCCATTTTATATGAGGCCTATGATATATTTTGGTTAGTATTTATTTTTTGAAAGAATTTTTATAATTTATTTTTCCCATCAATTCTCATGTTAATGTGACATTAACACAATAGATTTGAATTAGTTCTGAGTAAAATTCTAAGACTATAATGGCATTTCTCTTCTTCCCTCCTTCCTTCTTTCTTTTTTTCTTTCTTTCTTTCTGAATTTTTGAGATAACATATTTTTAATTTACATTATAGATGAAGGTTAATGCCCCACTAAATAAAGATTCAATAAGGAGAAAGTAAAAAGACCCTTGTTTCGCAGATTTTTTTGCTTTTTGTATTTAGATCTCAATTTCTTCCAACATGATTTGCCAAAAGCCCATTATTTCTCTATCAAGTGGCCTTTGGTGCTTTGTGAAGTGTCAGTGGACTGTATTTGGCGCCTCTCCTGCTTCTCTGCCTCCCTTCTGTTCCACTGATCTGTATGTCTATTCTTATAAATTTCACACTATTTTTATTGCCGTCAGTCATGTAATCAAGCAGTGTGAGTACTTCAGCTTTATTATTTTTACCATTGTCTTGGTGATT